TCCTCTTGGATGGTATTTTTCTTCCACCCCATCAGATTTGCTCACTTTTTACTACTTCATGTTGGGCACTGAAGGCTAAGTGTAATCTTAAGGCCACAAACTACCTGAAAACCTTGTGCTTACTGTGTACCTCTGTGCATATGAGGAAGAGATACACGCACTTTAATTCTGGTCATTCTACTTATAAGAAAACAAAATGGTGAATTGAAATTGTTCATGTCTTTATTATTGAAGTTTATTTTATTTTTAATTGGAAGTTAAATATGTTACAAAATATCAAATTGTATTCCAGTCTAAGATGATTTGCTCTGAGGAAATGAAACATTGGCTAAGTCCAAAATTAATTAAGTAATTTGTCATATGTTGATGGTGTTTATGGTGATGACACTTATCGGCAAACTCTGCAGTTTTATGATCATCAAATTTTGTGCACACAGAGTTTGCTTACATTTATTAACGGACAAAACAGGCTTTTAAAACAACCGACTTTAATCCAGTGTTTGCACTTCCAAAAGTTTTTCATATTCACATATTTTCATAAGTATAAATACAGTGAAAAGTCCGTTGTCACAACACTTTCTGCTACAAACAACGAGTCCCTCTATCTTCTGCTTTTCCAGTTCAGGGCCCAGTAGGAGTATAGATAACCAGTGTAAATGATCAACAAACAGTCACACCTACAGCCTGTTTACTATAATCAGTGACCCTAACATGCGTGTCTTTGGACTGTGAAAAGAATGCCAGAATACCCGGAGCGAACTCATGCGGACACGGGGAGAACGTGCAAATTCCACAAAGAAAGGCTGGTGGATTTAAACCGCCGTGGTGTAAGGTGACAGTGCTAACCTCCACACTGCTGTACCCCAAACTACAAGTCCATTAATTCAATAGTCTGAAAACTGAAAGTGCAAAAACTGAGACAAGAAATCAGTCATGTTATTTATTTTATTAAGACCTCCTGCTTGAGTCATCACCGTTCCCTTGGAGTCCAATGACGACTCATCCAGTAACTTTGGGTGGACGGCCGTTCCTGGGAAGGTTCACCACTGTTCCGTGTTTTGACCATTTGTGGTTAATGGTTCTCACTGTGAATTTCTGGAGTCTCAGAGCCTTAGAAATTTTTTTTTACATAGTAAATTTTAGGTGCCAGGAACAAATGAATGTCTGGAAATTCTCCCTAATAAATAAAGTGGCTGATTTAACGGACATAAAGTTGTTATTCAAGTATGATCCTTGAAATAGTCCCAGTGGTAGCAGAAGTAGTAACAGTTTCTAAAAAAACAAATGAATGAAGAACTTAAAAACACACACTGTGCCCCAGCGGTGACTCCTACATTAAGTACTGACCTCTGCGGAGAAAGTTAATTGCATCATGTGTTTACACAGAACTGATAACGAGACGTTATCCACTCAGCTGTTGGCACAGGATCAGACCATATTTGCTGACCAGAGATCAGAGTGGGAGAGAAGACCCAAAGATTTACAGAGAGAAATGGCT